CACACACACACACACACACTCCTAGCATAGAGTGTTTAAATTTACAGGTGGCACTTGAACGCATCACTGACTTGACTACACATACACACACGTACACTGATGCCACGTCAAATGTGACGTAGCAGGAGGTGTATTCCGGGAGGGAGGCGAATAGTGACCAGTGCGAGCGAATAGTCATCGATTGGCATTAATGATCTTACACCGGAGAGGAGTCTTTGTGAGAGGTAAGAGTTAAATATTTGATTTACTTCTATCTGCTGTGTGTGCAGCAACCTGAGCGGTTTCCCGCTCCTCATTCGGGCGGATATTTGCTAACATGTGCCCGGCTGTAGCTTGACTGATGCGCAGACCGCGGCTAACTATCATATACAATGACTGAAAATGAGGTTCACTAAATCTATGCGCTTCTTAGCAACAGTCTGTGTTATTACATTGTGCTAACACTGGATTTATCTGTGCTCCGAGTCAACACAGCAGTCCCTGCTACCTCTTTACAGGCTCACCGTCACAGTCATGCTGGAGATGTGAAGTTTAAAAGTTTTATGAACACTTTAACTAAAAGTGATATATGAGTATTGTGTATTACAGCTGTAGATAATTCAGGGTGTGTGGCTGGGGTGTTAGTCGTCAGCATCCCATTGAAAAGGTCACTTACAGAGGGGATGTCTTTGGTGTAAACCCTCTTAGAAAACATCGCGGGTTCATAATATCGCGTTGTTACACGGCTATTATTGTACTGTTGTAATTATCAATCATAATAAGCAAACATAATGGGTATGAAAGAGTCAGTATTCACACTGTGGTCTGGGTTAAACTATCCTCGACCTTATCCTATAGTGTTGTAATGACTTCCTGGTAAAAGTGGGTGTGGATTCAAACATAAGCATTCCAGCAGTGCTTGTTTTACCTACCTTGTTTTACCTACACTACAACTAGCACAGGGCTATTAAATACTCTTATCATGTTTCCACCTTCCATCAGAAGATATTCAGTCACTTTAAGGACATTGGCTATGTCATCAATTATTTTTTTACTCCTAAATTTGTTTTTATACACACATACAGTTTCTTGGGTGCTCAAAATGAGCTTTTAGTGGTGACTGTACTAAGAAATATGATTGGTCCACATGAAACTATAGGAAAGAGTCTATGTTACCTTATATAACAGATTTTTTCTGTAATTTTTTTTACCCATTTTACTTAAAAAAATTAATTTAAAGGTGAGTAAATTAAACCACACTGTTAAAAAAAAAGCTACAAGTATTTTTTTTAAAAAGTCCTTGCAGAAGGCCAGACCTATATGTGGGAAAAACCCTACAAATGTTTGGATATTGTAGTGTGACCTTTCTCTTATCATCTATTTTTTTATATTTACATAAAGGCCACCGGCTTATACAAAAACAACACAAGACCTGGGGCATGTTTTGCAGTTCTTTTTAAATAAAATAATCTTTTTCCCCACAGTTAATTAAAAGCACAGGTGATCATGGACCCAAACATCAGCACACTCAGGCAGAAACTGGCTGACGCCGGCCAGTCTCACCTCCTGCAGTTCTGGAACGAGCTGAGCCCTGAAGAGCAGGCCGAGTTGACCCAAGAACTGGAGGGTATGGACTTTCAGGAGATCAACGGATTCTTCGAGAATGCCATGCAGACATCTAACAGCAGCAAACAAGGGAAGATGGACTGCCGCATGGAGCCCGTGCCCAGGGAGGTGCTGGGAAGTGTGACGAGAGACAGGGAGAGCGTCAAAGACTGGGAGCTGACAGGTGAAGTATAATCTCACCTATTTACTGCTTTTGACCTTTAAACTGTACTTACTCGGTATGCTGAGTGTTTTAAGGAAACATAAAGCATTAGAATTGAGAGTATCTCGTTTTAATGAGAATATGTAAGCTATTATCACTTGTTAAACAAGATTCGCCTAGTTACTGCAAACACGTTTAACACAATGAAATCTTGACAGTGATGACCTGCAGGTAAGAGAGGAAAGCTTAACACATCAGACCGGGAAGCTTGCTTAAGTGGATTAAAACATCACATGGGTAACCCAGCTGGATGAATAGTTGTTCTCATGGCAATATTTTTAAGTATCCACATCCAGATGTTAGCTCACAGAAAAACAGCCCATTAGATCAAAACTTTTGCAAAAGCTTATTACAAAGTTCCAGTCATGCTGCGTCAGAAGCTCCATGTTTATCCATTGTGCGTTTCTGTGCAAGGGTTGACATTTGAGTAAGTTGCTGGAATTATTCATTATGTTTTGCGCAATCCCTCATGCTTCACTCTTCCCGGGGCTGTATGACTGTCTCGGTGGGCAGCAGAAACATCTGGTGTTGATTTGTGCTTGACGTAACTGGAGTTCCCTCTTGACCCTCAGTCATGAGCTCATTGTGATCTGTTGGGACCAAATCTGTGTTGCTAGGTGTGGGGCATGTGTCAAAGTTTATGGATTAACCCAGTACATAAAACTTGCTTCTTGGCACCAACCAGTAGGAAGAGAGTTTCATATCGTGTCACGTTGCTGCAGTTTATGTTAGACAAACTGGAACCATTATAAACTATTGGTACATTGAACCATAGTAAAATCTTGAGTAGAGTTGTAAGCTCATATAATGTGTCACGTCCACAAGTACTCCAGAACCAGTCATAAAATGCTGCTAAACTGTTTGGATTAATATTATCAGAACTGTTTTGTTAAGTTTATTATTATTCATCTACTAACCAGGCAATAAGAGGTCTGCAGAGATTAGATACTGTGCATTGTGTGCCATCATATCAGTGTACAACACTAAATGCATGGCCCTGTTTTAAATAAACTACGGGACACATTTCTGCTACTATTTATGACCGTTGTGCTGTGTTGCCCTTTAGGTCTTCAGTGCAT